AAGGTATAATCAAAAGGAACAATAAATAGGCAGAACTGAACACAATGAAACAATTGAGGCACATATGACAAGAAGTAAAAATCAAAATAATGAACACTTTAGTTGGAGAAACATTGAATAATTAATGACCCTTTGAAAGCTGTCAACAAAGTGTAAAATATCAAATGTCAATGAGATATTATCAGTTTAGAAATGACATAGATCATAAAAAAATGAAACTAAATTTAGACTCACGATCTTCTATGTCACTACCATCACTTCAATTCAAAATCACGCAGATAAGTGAAAACAATTTTGTATTTAGATCAAATTTTAAGTAATAATAATCATATAATGTAAAACTAATTTTTCTTTTTGAAAAAGTTTTGTGTAAAATGGAAATTAAGCTGTAATATTTATTACAAATAGTTCACAAAACAAATAAACAATCAAAAAATCACGAAATACTTCACAAACAAACTGCTCAACAACCCTGTTAATGTCATTCGTTGAAAGCTCACAAAATAAATCACAATCTAACATCATTCATTAATTATTTGCATAAATTATGTAAATTCCTCAACCATACCATTATTTTATATTTACAAATTAAGCACCATAACATTCATAACTCCTTGTACATTTTCATTCAGAATCAGGACAAAATTTTACAATAACAAATCACATTAGAACAATCAAATAAGTTTTTTAAGCATACTTAAAGCTAAATAAAAAGTCTCATTTTATTGACCAAAAAAGGCATGATTTCAGATATCTCACAGACAGTTTTTGTTAACTCATAGGAATCTGGGAATTCTGGACACTAATTAACCTGTGACCTCACTAGTACCAAAAAACCACAGGTAAAAAGCCAATAGTTTTGAGATATAACAGATCCTGCTTTAGAGACAGATAACAAATTAAAACCAACACTGATATTTGGCATTGTCATGAACCAAATTTGTACCCCTGTCATTAAGTTATTAATGCATCAAGCACTATTCTACAAGTTATCAAATATCTTGTCTAGTTATCATGATAAATCAGCAACAATATTATATTAGAATATAAGATCATTTGGTCTTTCCTTTACAAAATTACTTAAAAAATAAAACCTCTTGCATGAAATACTGGTAAATAAAGAAAAACCTAAAATAGACCCTGTGTTATTAAAAAGATAACCCACTGTGGTTTGAGTCCAACACTGTTAAAGGTATGTATAGTTTAATAATAAGTATCATCAATATCAGTGGTACATTCCTTCACTAAGGCTCGTAAATTAGGGTTCTCCATCGCTGCAGCTATTCTTTCTTTATCATTTATCTGTTTATTGACTGGAAAAAAAGAATAATTAACAATTTCAATGATTCAGGTGGATTGTTCAAAACCGAAATACTAGTCAGCATAAACTTGTTACAGGTAAGGCTGATAGGTAGATAAGGATAAGATAGGACACCAATTTTAACATTATTTATTATTTACGCTGTGGATATTTAGCCGTGAACCGGTTTAGTTTTTTTTTCGCTATTTTACCGGCACTTCTGTTTACCCATGCACAGTGGAGAAAAATGAAAAAATGCGGTAATATTATCTGTCGATGAGGCCATAAAGCGACAAATGAGACCATAAAACAAAACCTAAAACTAACCCTAAAGAAGACCCTGAAGGCAGCTGGACCTTGTTCAACATATTTCAACATATGGACAGCCCTACCTAACCCTTATTAAGACACTAAATCGCATATTTATTGCGAATAGTGAAAAAGAAACTAAACTGGTGGACGGCTAAATATCCACTTTGTTATTTTGATATTTATATTTGATTGATTGCTGATGTTCATGACATATTTGTTTTCCAGATATTTAAATCTAATTTAACCCTTCAAATAAAATAAAAATTCTGGATGATATTATTCTAGTAACTTGTAAGAGGCCATTGACCTCGTGCCAGACAATTGTCCCATTTCTTTTCTTGAGCGTATGTATATAAAATCTGTCAAATTAGGTTCATGGATATGACATTCTACTTAGCCTGCAGATAAAAAAAGGAAACCATTTTATTACAAAATATTTTTAAACTTACTTTCATCAGCTGTTGTATGGGTTCCCTTCTTTATTTTTATATCAACCTAAAAAAAGTCAATTCTTTATTAAAATAGATAGGCTTATAAGTCTACAGTAACTAGTATGTACAAAGTTTACAGCTTCAACACTTTTGAATCGGAATAAAACTGTATATTAGAAGATTTAAATCTAATAAACTGATTTGTGAATAGAGCTATTTGTCAAGAGAAAAATTCCCTCATTTCATACTGCAGGGCCTCACCAATAACATTCACACCATAAAAAAAAAAAAAACTAGCAAAAGTAGACTAGCCAAAATAACATTTCATTCAATTCTGTATTTGAAGAGAGACCTTATGTATCTCGAAGAGTAACTAAGGGGAAGTAACAAGAAATAATAGCAGACGTGAGTACAATTTAGCCTTACCTTAGCCTTTTCAGGAAGACATTCTTGTAGTTTTGATCTAATAGTTAAACCTGAAAATGAATCAAACCATACTGATTATATGTCACGATTTAAAGAAGAAAAAAAAAAATTGAATTTTACTCCTGAAGTTAATGGAGATAGCCATGATGGCTTAAAAGTAGCAGATAGGACGATTAAACAAGGCTACAGGAACAATTAAATTGGAGTAATCTCATGCTATTTCCTGGAAAAATTTCCCTCATCACACACTGCAAGGATAATTAAAAAAGGTGCTACAAAAAGTATGGAAAAAACAAAAAACACTTGACCTTCTTTTTTTTCTTTTTCAATGAGGAAAAACTGTTTTTTCTAAAGATATAGAATGGAAAACTTCTATAATAATACAAGAGTGAAATTATAGACACACATTGATTATTGCTTACCTATTAAGGAAGCTAAAGAACAGTGAGGTACAGTAGGAGTAAATTCAACATGTATTAACAACTGATCTCCCGTTAACCTAGATACAGTGATAGATTCTTCACTTAATACATTTAATTCTTCTAATGTTTCTGGTTTTTCTGGGTCTTTCACATCTCGTAAAATATCTGAAAAAAAAGACATTTATAATCTAAGCTGTGAATATATTGATTACATGCTAGGCCTACTGATATGCTGCCAGACAAGAATACAATGCAAAATATGAGAATGGTAGGTCCTTACAGCATGCACAGGGTTATGAGGGATCCGCTTGGCCATAAAGGCTAAAAATAGAATGCACGTCTGGCTTGAGTAGGACAAAATAATGGTAGGACAAACCACTCTTACAACTGTATGTGTTTGTGTATCGCGTGATGCACATACCATTATTAATGATGATATTGCTGATCTCTCCTATTAACTCTCTCTCATATTAGCTCAAATATTGCAAACTAACTGTGTCCATTAAAAAAATAGAACTATAGTGTAAAGAATTAACTACTATACCATAAACAGTCTGTTGCATCTCCTTCAGATCTTCATTTGATGAAATTGATGATCCAATTTCAGTTTGTGATGTGAACAATTTCTTGCCATCATCAATGCAACAATCTTTTTCTTCTTCATCTAAACTCAATCTTGTAAACCCATTTTCAACCTTACTATTTACATTTGTCATCATTTTTGCACAGAAAAAATCAGATATTGCATTCTATCCTTCATCAATTTAAAAATCTTGTTTGTTTACAATTCAGTGTACAGAGGTCAAAGGTTATTTACTTTGGTGCTTGAAGTTACCTCCCTGTCTTTACATTACTGTTTATATTAATATAAATGACAATACAGACAAACTATAATAGTGATCCTGACAAACGTGAATGATTACATGAGAAAAATATTAATCAATATCTATTTTTACTATTTAAGATTATCAAAATTTAAATAAATATGTGAGTGTTCGAATACCGAAAACGAAACATGAGGTAATATTATCACGTGATCTTGGAGTCTTTCGAAACTTCAACACTAAAGAGTTTATTTATTTTATTATCTCCCCTTTTACAAAAAGAATTCTCGAATCGAATAGTTAGCTCAATAAATAAATAGAACATCTGTGAGTAAGTAAATCCAAGGTGAGTAGATCTATCTATGATATGTTTTAGTCCTTTGATATTAATGATGCAAAGTATCAGATTTTTAATAGCAATATTTTGACTATGTAAGCAATAAGTCAAAAAGCTCAGTGTAGTTCTTCTGACAGTCTACTTCTACTCTTCCAACGTATCTGTAGCTTGATTGCTTGCATGGTGTAGACAGTATTAATGGTCAAATTGTGCATGTATAGTACGTAGACCGAAACATTTGTCTCTATTCCAGCCTCTGATAGCTATTTGGACACTTGTCAGCCAGTGTAGAGACAGAAAATATAGGCCCTGTTAAATGGGAGCATTTCCGCCAGTGCGGGGCTTTTAAACCTATTTAGATACCTCAGATCTGCAAAAGCAAGATATATGTGGGAAGATGAATATTTTTTGTAGTTCGTGCTAGCCAAAAGGTCAAAGGTCACAGAGTCTTGTGAAACTAACAAAATGAAAGTTACACTATTGCCCTGCACTTATTTAGAGTCATTCTAAATCTAATTTAATATTATGTTAGAAAAACAAATCTCTGGAGGAGTGGAAAATCCAAATTTAACATGGCCTTTTTCTTCTGACTCTACTCTGCTTGATAACTGTCAAAATATCCATCAGAAGCTGGAAAAGAGGCAGATGTTTCGGACTAGTAATATTGTATGTTGAAATCAATCAAATATGCACTTCATATCCACATTAAAACCCATCAATGTCAACTCCTAATTAATGGAATATGTTTATTTACCGCAATTCAACCCCGATTGTACCAGCTCCTGCTGTCCATTATAATATGCTCTACCTTGCAATGTAATTTTACACTTAAATTTTCACCATCTGAACTCGGCTTGAAACTCTTAAAACTTGGTGCCTTGTTGTGGAACAACAAAATAGGTGATGTTTGAGTAACAACTGAAGATGTTGATTGATGAACAACTATTGAAGATGTTGATTGATGATCAACTATTGAAGATGTTGATTGATGAACAACTATTGAAGATGTTGATTGATGAACAACTATTGAAGATGTTGATTGATGAACAACTATTGAAGATGTTGATTGATGAACAACTATTGAATGTTGGTGTTAATAGTAGCGGAACAACTGAAGGTGTTGATTGGTGATGAACCACTGAAGATGTTAATGTCAAAATGTTGATTGTGTATGAACAACTGAAGAACTTGATGGCCAAGGACCTACTGAAGGTGTTGATATTTGAGGAAATACTGAAGATGTTGATTGTTGAGGAATAATAGAAGATGTTGTAGATGGAGGAACAACTGAAGAAATTAGAGGTTAAGGAATTACTGTAAACTTACTAAAGATGTTGGATTTGGAGAAATAGTAATGATGTTCATTGTTGAGGAACTACTGAAGATGTTGATGGTTGAGAAATTAGTGAAGATGTTGATTGTGGAGGAACTGCTAAAGGTGTTGATTGTGGAGGAACAATTCAAGATGTTGATGATTGAGGAATTAGTGAAGATGTTGATTGTTGAGGAACAATGGAAGATTTTGATTGCGGAGGAACAATGGAAGATGTTGATTGTGGAGGAGCAATGAAAGATTTTGGTTGTTGAGGAACTAAGCTTACCAAAGATGTTAATGGTGAAACAACTGCTGAAGATGTTAATGGTGAAGTAACTGCTGAAGATGTTGATGGTGAAGCTACTGCTGAAGATGTTAATGGTGAAGCAACTGCTGATGATGTTGATGGTGAAGCAACTGCTGAAGATGTTGATGGTGAAGCAACTGCTGAAGATGTTAATGGTGAAGTAACTGCTGAAGATGTTAATGGTGAAGTAACTGCTGAAGATGTTGATGGTGAAGCTACTGCTGAAGATGTTAATGGTGAAGCAACTGCTGATGATGTTGATGGTGAAGCAACTGCTGAAGATGTTGATGGTGAAGCAACTGCTGAAGATGTTAATGGTGAAGCAACTGCTGATGATGTTGATGGTGAAGCAACTGCTGAATATGTTAATGGTGAAGCAACTGCTGAAGATGTTAAGGGTGAAACAACTGCTGAAGATGTTGGTGTTTGGGGAACTACTAGAGGTTTTGGTGTTTGATGAACTACTGAAGATGTTGATGGTTGAGGAACAACGAAAGATGTTGATGTTTGAGGAACAATGGAAGATGTTGATGGTTGAATGAAGATATTGATGGTGGAGGGATAAAATAAGATGTGTTCAGTACAAAATTTACAGTGAACAAGCGCTTATACAAATATGGTACTTTAAACCATGTTAACTATTTGGTTACCAGCTGTTTGTAGTACCACAAATTTGCTTTAAGATGTTCATATTAGACTTGGGTATTATCATGTCTCTGATGTCTCAAATCATGGGATTACCGGTAGGAGATAGGTATTTAGTTATTTATGGGGTGGACTATTAATTTAACAATGTTAATAAAATAGTAACTGTGTAAGTCTATAGTACCGGTATCAACTAGTATAAAATACTATAGAATTGCCAAGAAACAGTTGAAATATATGTAATTGATACCAGACTAATTGTATTTTATTGGGTATTATATAAAACTATCAAAGGAATTTGAGGTAAAGGTGTAATATAAATAACTGGTATGTACACTATTTCACCTTATTTCTTTTATCTTTTAAAGGGGGTGTTACATAAATCTACATTTAGATATAGTAACAAAGTTTTTTTTATATAGTTTTATTTTTTTTATCTACTCAAAAGTGACAGAACTCAAGTAAATGATTTAGTGAAGTTGGGATCATGGTTCGACGCTACAAAGAAATTTACACGGAAGTCATATAAGTTAATTCAGATATTTTCTTCTATTATTGAATAATGTCTTTAGTGATTTTTTTAATTGAAGAGTGTTTTTAAAGGGGTATGGACACTTCAACCATCTGTAAGAGCATCTAAGCAGCATACCTAAACACTTTTCAATGAAAGTCCAACTCCGCCTGCACATCTAAGTATTGAGGCTATTGCTTTGGATAATCGAGAAATTTAGACTATTGAAACCTCTACCAATTGAAATTCTAATGTGAAAAGTGTTAAAGGTAGCTTTGATGCTATGTTAAAATGTACATGTATCTTTAATATAATTTTATAAGTATGTTAGTCAAGAGGAAAAAAAACACTTGTAATTTTAAGATCTCACCTACACATGATGATAACTTGAAGAAATCAAAAGAAATAAGTGCTGTAAGGTTACATTTCAAAGGAAATATTTTGGTTTTTTTTGGGAGATAAGGAAGAGCTTATTCAGCTTCTTTTGATATCAAATTTCTCTATCAAATTGAAATTTTCTTTTTTCCCTTTTCAACTTAATTGTTTATTGAGGTTCAGTGAGTTATTGCCCTTGACATGTCATGTGACCTGAACATAAAAAGTACATGTTTTTGAGAGAAATATTGACGATGAAATTGACTATGGTAATATTCAGTCAAGTTATCTCACAGTTATTGCCCTTGCTCAATTGATGGATATGAAATCAAAAATTGATTACTAGCATAATTTTCAAATGAACCAAAATTGAGCTAGCCCTAGATGAGATTCATTTCAGCAAACAGTACGTTAACCACGATAAGATTGTCAAATTTTGTAATGGTTGAATTAATATTAAGCCAAGGTATGCAAATACCATTACCGTAATCTTTTGTTGAAATAACTCCGGAATTTGGATATTTTAGTCTGTCATCAGTAGGGGGTCGATAAATTGAAATATAACTGCTCTATGGTATGTAGTTGAATCAAGACATGGTTTAATATGGACTCTTTTTTAGGTAATTAGAGGTTAGGCCTTAAAGGATGATTGTCGAACAATTTCAATATAAAAAATTTGATTTTTACAAAATATTCTGTTAAAAATTTGGCCTACCATGAAGCAGATGTCAGTTAAGTATATCAAATTGCAAAGTGTAAAAAAGTTAGTGATATTTTCTTTTTTTTAACAAAGGATACTTAATGTTACATTGAATTTATGTTTGGCATTTTTATTATTTCAGTCAGTCATTTTTCTGTGCTCTTTAG